GCCAACTTCAAGGAAAATAAAACATAGTGGAATGGGACCTGGTGGTGAGAAGTCCTGCGCGAGAAAAACTTTTACGACATCGGCACAGCTTCGACAGTTCAGAGGTCACCAGATGAAAAGTAATGCAGGTGTTCGTAGCCCCCCCCCCCCTCTCCTCATTGACACAATTTAAATCATTTAGGAGGCGGGCTTTGACTCTGTTGGCCAGGACCTTCCCGGGCCGAGAGGGGGATTCATCCTAGTAGAAAGACAGAGATACTCATAGGAAAAATTCTCACAACTCGTGTCTCCTGTGTGTAAAAGAGAAGTGCCCAACCGCTACACCACAGCTGCTGGTACGAAAAGAACAGAAACATATAAAGAGCAGTTGATCTTGAATCCAGCCTCATGAAGCTGTGAGAAGCTATTTGACATTAGAATTGGATTAGTAAATCAAAACTGCCGGCTGCTTACTTGTCTACAGCAAAATGGGCCACATTTCTGAGTAATTGCATGATACTTGAAATGCAAACAGCCCCACAAAAGCAGTTTATTATCATTATCATAATATCAAAGGACATAATGCTTACAGGTTAGATAATTAGCTACAAATCAATACAGGTGCGAACCTTAAAAGCATGTGGGTAATGAGCCCTTTCATGCAGAGCTTAATGATTAAAAGAATATCAGGAAAGCAGCATTAGTTTTCAGGGACAAAAGAATAGGTACACTCAAAATAACCAAACCAGATGCAAAATTAGCCTACTAGATTACCTAGTCATGTTTTAAGAGAATTACTAGAATACAGAACGAAACGCCATACATTCCCACCATTTAATGATCATGTAGTGCTTTCAACCCATTCCACACATTGCAATGATTGGGCAAACCCTTCCTGAAGGCACTGTAAGCACTGCTATTTCCTCTAACTATTTTCTAACTTTCAGCTATGTCTTACTTTCAATTCAAAACAGTAGGTAAAGTTTATGGTCACACTTCAAACTTAAGCTGAAAAAAAAAATATCACCTATGACAAAACAGTTTATAAAAATACAATGATGCTACAAAAATATATTAATATTTTCTAAAATGTATAATCATACTCTCTCTCTCTCTATATATATATACATATATATATATATAATGAAAGTTCTGGAATGCTGTGTTTGGTCAACCCTTCTATATGGCTGTGAATGCTGGACAATCACTAAAGACAGTGAAAATAAAATAGAAGCCAACAGAAATGGGGTTTCTTAGGAGACTGCTGAGAGTATCGTGGAAGGAAAAGAAATCAAATGAGATAGTGCTTGATGAAGCCCACGTGGGATGCTCAATGTTAAAAACAATCAGGAAACAACAAATGCAGTTTTTGGGACACCTGAATTGACATAAGGGTCTTGAACAGCTAGCTCTCACAGGCACAATTGAGGGCAAATGAGGCAGAGGTAGGCCCAGATCAACATACTTAGGGAACCTAAACAAATAGGTAACAGGGAAAGATCAGGGAAACGTAGTTTTTTTTTGAGAGCATCCGAGCAAAGGAATGAATGGAGAACCATGATCGCCGATGTCTGTCGTAGATCTGGCACAGGACGATGATGATATATAATGGTTCAGTTCAAGAAACCCATATGCCACATTTGTCTAAAATCAACATGTTTGCTTACCCGTAGTCGCAGATTGTTCTCTATCACACATTTTTTCGCTGTGAAGATCGGACTGTAAATAACTTATTCACAGTCCAATCTTCACATCGAAAAGACACGTGACAGAGAAAGAAGTGCAGCCATGGAAAAACAAAACATAACAAAAAAAAAAGGTAAATAATATAAAATAAAAAAATGTGTTCTATAGGACTTTTGAACTGAACTGTAGATATATACCTCAGAAATATATACTGTATATATTATAACTTATGTAAAAGCCAAAAGTTTCCACAATTCAACAAAAAGGAAAAAAAAAAAAAAAATAATAGGTGAAGAAGTCACCACTCATAAATTTATGGCCCTTTTGGCTAGGTCAACACAAAAGATGGTAGAAAAAGGTAACATTTTGATTTGTTTTCTTTCAGAAGTTCCATTGTATGCTTCATGTCTTGAAATCATGTTGTTCTCAATGAAAAACGAAAAACTTTGCATAGATTTCTATCAACCCACTAAGGTCAAGTTTCTTCAAGATTGCTTTGACAGATCTATCGAGTGACAACGATGTAGAAGTTTAAAGCCGATGATTTAATCAAAATCATACTTTAACTCATTGATAACGCACATTTTATATTATACATTCCACAATACTTGTGAAGGAATGCCTTTTTGGGCCCTTTAAAGGTAGGCATGTAAGCATAACTTTATTAAACATTAAGATCACATAATTTGGGGGGGGGGGGGGAAGGGTCTTCATCTGAAACTTTAAAAAAGGCAAGCAACAGGCATGTATGAATATATGAATATACATGTTCCTGATTTCCGTATGTTAGAAATATGCTTTAACATTGCCTGTCAGACGCAACATGTGTCCACTCTGTCCTCAAAGAATTAAGTATCGCTATTACTGAACTGCTTACAAAGTTCAGGATCACTTTTACAGGAGTAAGTAATACCCCCAACAAACATGATTAGTTTTACTCAACAAGTAAAATGTTGTCAGAATTCAAACTCCAAGCCAGCTATTTTTGGGCATCCGCTTACCTGATCGACAACAACCATTTGGGTAAAGTTTTCTGAACCCGATCTAAAAAGTGACACCTTTACCTCAGACTTCTAACATCTAGAGGCAAGCACAAAACTGTGTTATCAGAGCTTTCTCAACAAGATCCTTTCTACACGGCGTTACTCTACAACTGAGCGTAATGTAAAGATGATGACCGCCAGTATCACTATTTTATTGATCCCCAGCCAGCCTCAATTTCTCTGCCTTCCTTTTCACAACTCAAGATCTGCACCATATTCTCCCCCCCCCCCCTCCTTTTGACATTAATACCAGTACACTTCAGATGTACCTCTTTGATGATGACGATGATAATGATGATGAAGATGATGATAACGATAACGATGGTGATGGTTAAAGCAGCAGCAGCAATAGTAATAATAATAATCAAAATGTATAACAATAAAGCTATCACACACCAGAGACAACCACGAATGTACCTCAGTCAACATTCTCCTTGAATTGAGCCTTGTGACACTAGGTCACACAACATGTACATGTATCTTTAAGCATTATGTCCGGAACATGCACGCACCTCCAGAGCTAATGAAATAAATATAGATTCTTCCCCATACACAAAACATATAAAAGACAAGAAAAAATGTATTGCCAGGGGTAGAAAGCAATAAATTTAGAAAACTGATGACAACAGTCTGGACAGTTTATTACACTTGCATTTAATTAAGTTGTCACTTGGCTTCCATAGGATAAAGATAAGCAGGGTAAAGAAAGTTTGCCCATGTGGGAAAATCGTCTAAAACTTAAATGGAATGGGTAGCAAAAAGAAAAACAACTGTAGAATTGCTTATTGGTGGATGACAAGAACAAAGCTTGATGCATTGCTTTTTTCCACATGGCACAGAGAGAATGTATTTTTGATCTTTCAAAAAGGACGCATATTGATTTAACCCACCAATAAACTAATCATGGGAAATAGAAAAAAAATACACCAAAAAAACCCAAAGTCCTATCTTACATACTGAATGTGATCATGGTAATAGTTTCAATAGGCACTCTTTGTCATCAAAATAGAAATTTAAAATTAAAAATCAAAACTGAAGAACAGCTCTCTTTCTCTCCACCCTCCCCTCTCTCTCCCAGTGAGTGGCTCGTGTGGCTTACTCCTTCTTTCCTATTTAACACCATTCTTTTGTCCGTATCTCTTCTCATTATGTTACTGTCTGGTAACATGTCTAATCTTATGCACTTACAATCTTAAGACCTATTTGTTTTGTTTTGCAAGTGCCGTAAAACTCTAACTAAATCTAAATCTCTCTTACACTCTCTTTCTCCCCCCCCCCTCTCTCTCTCTCTCTCGCTATCTTTCTCCCTACCCCCCCCCCCTCTCTTTCTCAAACACACACACAAGCACCCTCTCTCTACATATCAGTCCATCTCCGAATACATTACGCTCTACCAAAATGCTCTCTGATTAATTATCCTCACCCACTAAACAGAGGTAGAAAACAGTCATAACTGGAATGCAAGAAAACAAGCCAGAAAAAGATCAGTTTGAAATTAAAAAGGCTGCAAAGACACCAGTCAATGAAGCAAACCTTTCGAACATTGAACACAAAGACCAGTACACACGAGTGCAAGATACATATCCTCAGAGACTGTTGAATTATAGACTAAGACCAACAGCAGGGCACGGTAGAGGCCACAGTTTGCCAGGACAATAGGAACACTGGGGCAAAAGGAAAGGGAGAAAGCAACAAGTTGAGCCAACCTCCCCTCTCCCTCCTCCTCCACCCTAAAAGAAACACATAAGTACATACACATGTACAGAGATCGATTTATCAAAGTGACATAGAAAAGAAATACATTTTCAAGAAATTAAAGTAATGAGAATAAAACAAAACACTAGGGGTACAATACAAAACATTATACTGCTATGATCAACACTTTGTGCTTTGAAACAAGTGTAAGTTGAATGGTGAGCGCTGATGGAGCCAAAAGAATACCTACAAAGGTAAATTTTTTTTTAAAAAATGTCATTACCTTGTCCCCAGGCACCTTGTTGACTCTAACATGTCAACTTAATTCAATACTGCAACTTTTACAGGGCACTTGAAGAATTTCACATCCATAGAATTTTTTTTTTCAAGCAGTAGCATTGTCTTCCTTACAAGGAGAGAAAAAACTAGAACACCTAACAAGAACACATGACACAAAGGGTGCGAGTGTTTAACAACGAAACTGGAAAAATTCCAAGACCCTGCCCATTACGTAAATTCAACAAAAATACATTATCATTTTTTTTTTTCAGGCAAAATAGCCACACTCACATTGAACTCTCACCATACAGCTCCCAGAAAAAGACAGCTTGTCTACGCATTTCCCCGAATGGTACACCTTTTGCTTGAAATAAAAAACTAAAAAAAACTGGATAGACAGTTATCAAATTTTAAAAAGGGTTATTCTAAAGCCATGGTTACAAACAACAGATCATATAAATTTGGGAATGGTAGTAAAAGCATTAACAACACAATAGAAACATTAGATGCTACTAAAATAATGAGCACTTTGGTGGTCAGAAACAACAGTATACTTTCTAATACTACAAATCCAATGCCATACTAAATGGAAGCTACAGATGTAAAACAGTTTCTACAGTGTGATTACATATATAACCACTGGTAAGTGAAATTGTAAAAGTGAAAGAAAAAATATTATGGACTTTAAATATAATAATATCAGGAGCATTTCCCAATACAAAATATTTTATCACAGGACTCTCTAAAATTATTGAGATACTTGTATCTTTGAAGGTTCATTCGTTTCTTTGATTATAACTTAGTGCATGTTTGGATTGATTCAACATTTGATTTAATGATCAGATGATATTTTATAAACTATTTGATTCATTCATTGGTTGGCTGGTAGGTGGGTCAGATGGCTGGTGGGTGGGTTGGACGGTTGACCGGTCTTAAAATTATATGTACTTAATTCAAAAGATTCTGTATACAAATTTAAAAAAATATGGTCAACACAGCACATCCCCTGAACCCTGAAATAAATAAAACAAAACAAAAAGACAACCAGACCATGGGTAACCAGATTATCATATAATTATTATTTGAATGCACCACACAGCAAATTTTCCTTGCAAAATTATGCGTCCAAAGTATCATCTCAATACAGCTAGACAAATAGCCAAGCCTATAGTCCTTTATTGTAGATGAGAACTTCATCTGTCGTCGCTGCCTGAATTTCTGGCTCTAGCTGAGACCTTTGGATCTGTTGAAGAGAAGAGAGAAAAAAAAAAAATGCAATAAAATGAAAATAATGACTGATTGCAACTAACATTTTCCTTTTGTTTATTCTATTGTTTTAGTAGAGGTTTTACGGCGCTCGCAACTGCTTATGGTCACATGGGCGCCAAGGGGTGGATGTCAACAGAGAAGTTCTTACAGGGAATCAAGACTTACTCTGCTCACCTCTCTAGCTTCAACAGCACATAGTCTGCTTCGACTATCAAGGCACCCCGGAAATAGCGGGTTGCAAGAGAGGATTAGGTAAGAAAAGGCAGCAGTTCCCTGTTGCAGTTCAGGCACAGTTATGAGCATGACATTGTTGGATCCGTCCATTTACAATTCTACTGTGCGTTAGAACGAGAAATGTCCCCCCTTTGGGAATGGCCTAAAGACACTTCAGTCAGTGCACCGCCCTGTGGGGTAACATTTTCTGTCTCCATCCACACAAATGTAGATGATTTAGGAGGTGGATTGTTTCAACCCTATACTATCCACCAGAGCCAAACCAGGAGAGGGGGATACAGTTTCACAGCAGATAGAGATTAGTCGAACCTGCTCTAGCGACCACCAGTCCAAGACAACCACCTGAACAATCGACCACTTCCCACTTTTCCCTTGTGTTTTTTTCTATTATAATACCACTGTTCAAAATAATCACTTATATCTAAGAAGAGCACTATTCTCCTCGACAGTGGGTGGTCTCCTTGAACAGGTTCGCTGAACTCGACAAAATAATTTCCCCAGATGCCAAGCAAATTTACATCTTCCGCATGCAACGGCTAAAAGCCTAACCATTACACCAAAGAGGCCGGTAATAAAAAAAAAGATAATCATTGTATAGGCAAAACACCCAATTTCGACTCCCTGCCGTAATTCAAAAGGCTTGGCGTTAAAGGTAAATTTTCCTTCATGGATGGGGCAAAAGCTACCATTTACGCTAAATTTGGCTATATTCGACTGTGACTGTCAAAGTCAAACGCGTTTGTTCTCTCTTGGTTGAAGATTGAATCTGTTGTAACGAGCCAGAATAGTAGCTTTTGCCTCTGTCTGACCTTGGCTTAATCCGATAGAATTCAATTAGCAGTGTGCACAGGGTATTAAACATCCATCTCAAGTTGGACTGTGTCAGAGTCTGGCGGTGGGTCACTTCGGACTAGTAAATGTAATATCCAATCCCTTTTGGACTAGTTTAGTTTAGTTTTAGTAAGAGTTTTAAGGCACTTGCAACACAATAAGGTCATATAAGTGCTGAAGATTAGAGGTATTACAAGAGAGTAACAATCACAAAAAAGGAGGGGAGATGGAGACGATATATTTTTTTTATAGGAAAGAAGGAGCAAACCTCATCAGAGCACCCGCCAACCACCCACAGACTAGTTTAAGTTCAGTAAGAGTTTTACAGTACTTGAAACATAATAAGGTCTTACAAGTGCTGAAGCTTTGAGGAGTTAAAAGAGTAACAATCACAAAAAAGGAGGACGATAGACGTTTAATAGGAAAGAAGGAGCAAACCACATCAGAGCCCCCCACCAACCACCCGCATTGGACCAGTTGAACAGGTGGGTACATTTACATTTCACCAAGTAGCAATTGTGCGAAATAACGATTATATTTTTTAGCGGCATCGAATACAAGCTGGTCGGTAAGGGTGAGAAAAGTTCATCTCTGCCAAACACACAGTTGATTTTTTTTTCATTTGCCTGGTGAACTGTCCCGTGAGAGGGTTGCGGGGGTTACACACATTATGTATTCACTTTCAATGGTGCTTCAAAGGAGTATTTGTTGTTGTTGTTGTTTTTTAAGTAGACGTTTTACCACGCTCGCAACTGCATAAGGTCATATGAGCGCCAGAAGATGAACGGTGTTACAAGAGAATAACAAACATAAAAAAGAAGAAGGGGAGATAAAGACGTTAGAATATGTTTCAAAGGAAAGAAGGAGCAAACCACACCAGAGCACCCGCCAACCACCCACTCAAAGGAGTGAGACAAACAGGCATGCAAAAGAAATTTCAACTCTGCTGAAAAAAGACAAAACAAAAACATTTATCCTGCTCGATGTCAACTTAACTTCCACTTTCACGTTGTGAGCAAGGGGTGGGGTGGGGGGGGGGGGGGGGGGTAAATACACAGTAGACCGTCAGAATCGCAAACTTCTTCCATTTCAAAAGACTACTGTGTGTTTGGAGAAAGGAAGAGGCAACACGAAAAATCGGTTCCAAAATTAAAGCAAGAAATCAGCAAACACTACGGGTCCAAATGAGACACATCTTTTAGCGGTGAAATGGTATAGGTGTAACCCAATCAACACTATTAGGTTATTTAAGAGGCGGGACATCCGAGTTTAACATCCACCTCCGAGAGGACCAAGCCACGTGGGAAATTCGTGTAAAGTGCCTTTGACAAGGACTCAACGTCGGACCGAGCTGAGGCTCGAACCCCTAAACCCGCAATCTCACGATTACGAGTCCGGTAGCCTAACCACTCATTAGGCTACCGACGTCACTCTTTTACTGGTCCAAAAGGAACTTTGCACCTGATGGCACAAAAGGAAGTCTCCCATCTTTAATACTCCGAGACAACCCCAATTCAAGAAACCCACCCTAGGGGGGGGGGGGGGGGAAGAGCCAAATCATGTCACGTGCTTTAGTTTAGTTTTAGTAAGAGCCTTACGGCACTAGCAGCACCAATTTGTCATATATGGGTCGAAGATTAGAGGATTTAACGAGACAGTACCACACAAAGTAAGGACGATAGATGTTTGACAGGAAAAGAGAAAACCACACTAGAGCGCCCACCAACCACCCACCACGTCCCGTTCACTCATACGCAACATTCAAAGTGCAAAGCTTGCATTCTTTAAAATACCCACATCAAAGTCACGTTCGAAAACGATTTACTTCAACCTCGTATGTTCTCGTTCTTTCCCTTGCTTTAAGCGGAAGCCATTAAGTCAATGTGACTTTTTCAAAAATACGTATGTGTTCTTGCGCCTCCATCACATGATCAAAATGCGTCTTTAGTTTGTTATGAATATGGTCGGGAAATCTCATATTCGTTCAATGTAGTCACAGAGCTGCAAGGAACACACCATACTAGCAGAAAGACAGAGATACTTGACAAAAAACAAACAAACAAAAAAACCAGCGCCCCCCCCCTGTTGGGGCCAGCCCGCGCTGAGAGGGATACAACATCCCAGCAGAAAGACCGAGATGACAGATACAAGTTTTCCCCACCCGGGAATCAAACTCGGGTCTCTTGTGTGCGACAGCCAAGCTCCTAACCACAGCACAACAGGCGCCGTAATCAAAGAGAGTGCTTCTCTCTACTCCAACAAACAAGCACCCGGGGGCTCTCGTGGCCTAGAGGTTCAGGCGTTCGCATCTCATTCAAAGGTCCCGGGTTCGAATCCGCGTAGCGACCGAAAAATTTTCTTCTCTAAAATCGTCCCCTTTCACCTCCTTTCCTGCTCTCTCGCAATGTGTCTATCGTCTGCTTACGTCTCCACTTTCTGCCCTCACCCCCTCCCCTCCTTTGGGCTCCAGACTCTGAAGGGCTTTCTACTGCTACTCGCTGGCTCCTTCTCACTGCTGTCTTTCAGCCACACCACTATCTTCTGGTAGGAAAGATCTACACCTAGCCTTCTCGGTCAAGGGCGAAAAAATCTCAGAGGCCCCGTATGCAAGTTGCGCACGTTAAAGATCCCTTGGTGGTCTAAAATCAATGAGAGTAGGCTTCGGCCGCCACCCGGGCAAAATTCAAAAGTTCCAACCAACTGAAAATGTTTGGTGTGTCCCGCGCGCAGTTGCGAGCGCCGCAAAACACTTTACAAAAAAACAAACCCCGAACAAAACAAGAACCGTAGTCTAGCATGATACCAAGTAACAGCTATCAGTGCGCCCACGGCCATCTGGCTCTTGAAACCAGCAACCTGCCCGTGAGCACTGCGCCCGAGTCGCAGCTCACCCAAGCATGACGGCCGCCCGCGGGCCTCGAGGCTGAGCTATGTCTCGTCCAGCAGAGGGAACCAGGGGTCAGCATGCCAACGTTAAAAGCCTGCAGTCTCTGACACTCTCGAATTACCTTCTCAGCCAGAGCTATGCCTACCACACTGGACGTATCTTTCACCCCGGCTATGCCCAGAGACGAGGGGGCAAAACGGTATAACATATAATATCTCTTGTCTCTGACAATGCGCCTTCCACGCTGGACGGGGCTCGTCTGTGGACGAGAGATTACGATCTGTTGGAGTCAATCCACATGACTACCCGTGCGCCCGGCGAGCTCGAGAAGGGCCGTGATGATCTAAGCTGTCTCGTAGCGTGAATATTGCGTACGAGGAAGAGCAGAATTCTTTTTCTCTTTTTTTTCCCCCCAGTCTAGTAAGAGTTTCACGGCACTTGCAACACAAATAAGTCATATAGGTGCCGAAGATTAGAGGCGTCACTAGAGAGTAGCAAACAAACAAAAAAGGATAAGAGATAAGGACGATAGTTGTTTGAAAAGAAAAAGCAGCAAACCACAAGAGAGCACCCGCCAATGACCAATGTAAAGAGAAAAAAAAAACAAAAAAACCGGGGAATCTCATATATCATGTATCATGATAATGGATGATGATTTTAACGTTTCCATGTTATCCAATCAACCCGGGACCTTTGAATGAGATGCGAACGCCTTAACCTCTAGGCCACGAGAGCCCCCGGGTGCTTGTTTGTGATGTGAAACCGAGGAACACTGGTTGGGGAATCTCATAATCGATTTCACTTTTTCCTCTCTTCCTCAAAACTTCACCATCGATGCTCAGTTGGTATACAGCTGGACTATGGAGCGGATGGTCCTGGTTCCAACCCCCGGAGGCATGTTCTGAACATGTGTTGTTTTGGGGAGTTGTTAAGGTTCTCCACCTAACTGCTTCGGTCCTATCGGAGATGGACGTTAAATTCGTAGGTCCCGCCTCTTAAGTAATCATATAATGTTGAAAGGG